AATTTCTGTAAGTTTTTAAGGCATGCATTATTTTATTTATTTATCATTCTATAATAATAAAATAATATTAAAAAGATATTTTTTTATTCTTGGACTCGTAAAAATTGATATTTGAATTTGACATCTCGTCGTGTCTTACATTTTTAGGTTTAAAAAAAAAAATATATATATATCTTAGTTAGCATAATACGGCTCTTACTTTCCTTCATTTCCCGCTATTTTTTTTTTACAGAAAAGGCGTATACTCCGAATGAGACACACTTGTGGGTCCAAAATGTGAGCCATGCCAATTTAATGTGGCCCCCACATTATTTCTCTCTCCTCCTCCAGCGCACGCCATCTGGCTCTCTCTTTTCTTCGCTCTTTTTTTTTCAATTCCTATTATTAGCAAAATCCCTAATTGCTACTTCAATAAATAAAGAAATAACCCAACACATTCAGTGTATTTCTAATTACTTGAATTTTAATGAAAAATAGAACTAATGGCGAGTGTATCTTTTTTTTTTTTTTTTGGCTTATTGCGAAGAGTACTAATCTAATTTTTATAATATTTGTATAAAATCAACATGATTTGGTGTGATTACAAGGGATTCAATTAATTTGAATCTTTGGGCTAACACAATTATTGAAAGTAGAGTGTTGATCTCAAAATCTGCCCAACCACAGTCAAGAATTTGACCACCATTCTGTATACATGTGTAGTACTTGGACATTTAGTAAGAATTAAAATTTGCTTAGACGAGAGGTGTAGCGATTGTATGTAGGGATGGTAAAAAGGCTCGAAGGTTCGGGCCGTCCGTGGCTCGGCCTGCAAAAAGCTCAAGCCGGCTCGGATTAAATCAAATATACAAAATTTCCATTCAATGTGAAAAGACAAGTTGACAAGAGTCTTGGCTAGGATTAATTGATTTCGTAAACATTGATTCTATGGAATATGAGGGTACTTGTAGAGTTCAAGGTGCAAGGGTTCTACCTCTTAGGTGGGCTTTTTCCCATCCATGATAGTGGACGAATGGTCGAGCCATCGCATCACTTTTTTTTATTTTGGTTATTGATAGAGGTCATATCCAACTGCACCTCCTATCTTGCCTGAAATGGCAATTGTTAGGGGCACTATATTGACTCCTCCTATCTTATCTTGTTCGATCATTCACCATTTTTATGATAGGTAATTATAAATTACTATTGATTAAAATTAATATACAAGTACATCGAGCATATCCTGAAAATCAAGAACCAAGTGAAATACAATTACTCTAAGCATATTCGGGCTAAGAAAGAAAAAGATGTACATACAATAGGCACTATAATCCTAAAGTTAAAGACTCAAAATAAATCAAAACATGCAGGTATAAAGTAAACATAACCTTGTATACATGTGTTTTAATTCCTCTAACTATGCCATCCACTTGCGGACTAAGTTCCTCAAAAACCTTCATATTCCGTGTCATCCAAATATGGTAAATGGTACTAGCAAATGCAATTCTTTTAGATTTATTTCGCCAAGATGTCCCTCTGGCTTCTTTTTTTATTCATTTCAAAGGACTTGAAATTATAGTCATCAATCTTCGAATCTCCATCAAAGTTTTGATCTTCATCCATATGCTAGAGGTAAATGAACATTGGAAAAATAAATATTATCTCGTTTCCAAGTGTGTCTCACAAAAAACACAATTCTTTTCCATGTTGAGATGCGACAACTGATCCTTAGCAAGTAAGATAAAAGCATGATTTGGAGTGATAAAAGATCTTCGAACCTCCCTCGTCCAAACTCTTGTCTGCCTTCGGCTAAAAATATTTATAGGCAGCCTGAAAGCAAAATTGGCTAGCATATTCTAGCTAGATAGCACGTTTTCAACAGTTTGGACAGTCCTGTCATTCTCAGCAATAATGACTCTGATTTCAAGTATTCTCTTGAGCAAGGGAGAATCACTTTTCCTTGCTGTGCACTCCAAAAAATCCTTCCCTTCAGATATACTTGGTTAACCCATTTAACCTATGAATTGTCCTTCTTGGAATGTATATTCCAAAGGAGTTTGGCTAGAAGAGCTAAATTCTAGCTTTTGATATCTCTAAAACAAGGCCACCCTCATCTTTGAGTAGGCAAATGGTACTCCATGCAACCGGCCATTTTTTAGTACCACAAAAAAGATTTTGACAAAGCTTAATAATCCTCAAGGCTGCTGCAGATGGAATGGGGAAAATAGAGAGCCAAAAACACTCCACGCCCTGTTGTACAACTCTTTTTAAGTTCCGCCCCAACCGTGTAAGAAAGTGAAGATCTTGTCCTATATAAATGTAGGCTGAAAATTTATCTAGGGGCCCTTCATAAGAGCTGATTTTTAGTTTCTTGGTGGCAAGTGGGATACCCAAATATCGAAATGGCATAGAACCTTTAGTCGGTCGTTGGAACGACATCTCTAATTCTTATCCACAAATACCCGCTGTGTACAAGCTTGATTTGTTGGCATTCATTGTAAGTCTCGATACATCTCCAAACTTTGAAAGACAATTCATCAAAATACCAACTGAAACAACATCACCCTTTGCAAAAAGCATCAAATCATTGGCGATTGCCAAATTTGTAATCTTTATTTGGCTGCCTTTAGGATGGTAGTTAAAATCACTATTGTCGATATCACATTACAATATTCTCAAAAATTATTCGAGGCAAAGAACAAACAACAATGGATCCAAGTACAAGTCCCAATCGAGAAGCAAGAATCTTGGTGTATGACACTTTGACTTAATGGCCTGATGACACATGTCATTTGGGAACTTTCTTGATAACTCGTGCATGCAACCGAATACTTTAGCTTCGTTTAAAACATCTATTGTGATTAGAATTTCTAGTTAAGCAAAAGAGCTTTTGAAATCCAGAAAGTGCTTTTAGGCTTTGAGAAATCCCTTCCAAGCACATTATTAGTGGTAGAGCATCTTTAGCTAATTATCCAATGTTTGTCAAGTTGTAAACTTACTTTCGGGAACTCGTTGGGTTTTGAGTAGATGCGAGCAAAAATCGAACCAACCCACAAAAATCGAACCAATCAGTTTGGGTCGATTTTTCTTAAAATTCCAATAGATTGGGTTTGGTTGGTTTGATTTCAGATCAAATTGACCATATTAGGTTGGGTAAAAAATTGACCCAATGCAACCTCACCGCCATTCCTAGTTTTGCGTGCTTAGGCAACTAGCTTTGATCCATGTAGCAAGGTGTTAGGCCTCAACCCATAGCTTAACCTCGAGCTTATGGTCTTCAATCTTTTGGCAATTTCGGGTGGGTTGGCTCGTCTTGAGTCTCTTGATCCTTGATCTAGGTTTTGAACTTCAAGCAAAGTTTGCTTGGTTGGCTAAGTCTTTGGACCCATTTACGAGCCTCAACCCTTGCTTCATCCTAAGTCCTAGGACCTTTCGCATGACTTGACGAGCCTCCACGTGATTACACCCATACATCTCACTTAATACAAATTGAAAGACGTTTGAATTCACACGATTATACCCATACATCTCACTTTTGAAAGCGAGTTCAGATCTACTGTTCCAAAATACCCATCCCCCTAGCTATTTCCCCATCCCCAATTAGAAAATAACACAAAATTAGGGGCATCAATTATTATGGCTTTTCCTTCACACATTCTCAACTCCACCCTTCCTTCGCATCTCTTCCTTTCTCTACTAAAGTACACGATTTTATTTGGCGATGTGTAAATATTAGGCAAGGTGTTATTTTTTTAATCGAGGAATAGTTAGGAAGAGCGAAAAATTTGGGACAACAGACGTGGACTCATCAAACGCAACACATGCCAAAGTGCTGAAAGTGTAAAAAAAGGTTTAACAGAATACGTGTGGTCTTACTAATAATATAGCCCCCGTTTGACCCCCATTTTGTAGGAATGAAAATGGGTAGAATAGTATTTTTTTTGAAAAATGAATAGTTAAAAAAAATGGTTTATATGTAATATTATTTTATGAAATATTATGTGGTTGAAAATATGAGAGAGAAAAATGAAATGTAATGGAAAGAAAATTAATGGGGACAAACGGAGGCTCAAACCATTGCGGTATGGGTTGAATAATCGTATTATGGATTCAAGTTTGTTTTCTCATCACCAATTCACACCGAAGTTTACTTTGACGGAATTATTGCAACTACGAAAACTATAACAACCTCAATAAGCAAAAGCTTTCTTCGAAGATTCAAGTCAAACTTTTGGCTTATTGTAAGACTAAGCTGTAGGGATGGCAGTGGGTCGGGTCGAGCCGGTTCGGCTCGTTAACCCACGAGCTCGCCTCGGGCTCGTGGCTTGTTTTTCACGAGTCGAGCTCGGGCTGGGCTCGTTGCTTGTGGGCGAGCTCGTGGGTCGAGTTGAGCCGAGCCCACGAGCGGCTCGTGAGCTCGTGAATTTTTTTTTTTTTTTTTGCAAAATTTTCAAATTTTATTGATAAATTTTTTTTCCCCACATTTTTGGACGAGCCGGCTCGTGGGTTGGACAGGACCCCCCGCTCGGCTCGAGATGAGCCCGAGCAGCCCACGAGCTGAGCTTTGACGAACCGAGCCGGCTCGGCCCAATTGACATCCTTGCTAAGCTAGGCTCATGAATTATAGTCAGCCGTTTTTTTTGGTAGTTGTGAGCTCGTTCTTATAGATCCAATCAAATATTTTCCTCGTATAATTAAACTCTATACTATAAGTTTGGAATAATACTATTTGTACATAATGTAATTACCTAATAGTTTACGTATGAATAAAGTATCAAAAAGAGATTAGAGAATTTGTTTTTATTTGATTGAAGAAATTTGACCTAATTATATCTCACAATATTATGTGTATGTAAAATATTATGTACATGTAACAAAATCAATAATTTACTAAGATAAAATCAATAATAAAATTTTATCCGTTTTACTGTCTAATAATATAATTCTCCACCTTGTATGAAATATATTAAAAATAAAAATTATTAAGGTCATGCAAAATCATTTGCAACGGACCAGATTTTACAAGTTGGGTGTTCCAACAAAATGAAAAGAAAATCTGTCTTCCAGTTTTCCTGGCAATAGTTTCTCTTGGTGTGGCAATAGCCCTGTCTTCCTTCTCTCTCTCTCCCCCTCTCTCTCTCACACACACACACACACACACACACACACACACACAGAGACTGAGAGAGACTCCTCCTTTTTGAGCAGTGATCACAGAGAACGCATGACTAAAGTGGGTAGGGCTCAGAACTCCGAAAGAATAGAAATTGCAAAAAGCAAAAGCAATCCCTACTCCGTACTCACTAGCAATCACACAGAATAATTCAACTGTACATTCTGTCAACTGCCCTATATAAACCCTTTTAGCTGCTATCTTTGAACAGAGAAGTTCTCAATATTCAAAAAGGACTTCGACCTGTCGTGTCATTTCCAACTATTTTTTCTCAATTCTATCTGTACCATTTTTTCCCATTACTCTATGGTATTGGAGCAACACAAGAATATTGCAAGATACATTGAACTCAAACCGAGATCCGAATTGATCGAATCCGTACGCTACTTTTTTGGGGTAAACTATTGGAAATAAAATGTCCCTTTTCATATTCTCTTTGCCTTGGTTTTTATTCAATTATGTTTTCGGGTTTTTTCTTTGAGATTGATATTTACGTTGAATTTAGGCAAAAGTTGATTGAATTGTATATTTGTCTGCTTCTATGAATGCATTGGTACAGATATTTATGCTTGCCGACTTCTAAATCTGTAAGTAATGTAATGTGAGTAGATATGGAATGCGAGTTGCATTTTTCTTGTAAAATGCACAGGGGATTTCCCCCCTTTTTTCGTGTGTTAAATGTTGTGAAGTGGAGTTTGAGGCTGCATCGATGATCTATCACTTGATCCGGTGAGTGTTTTTTCTTTCAATGTTCTACTCGGTGACTTTAGCGGAAAATTTTAGGTGAACTTGGGAAAAGTCTCAGAATGTAATTGGATGAACTGATTTCCTTTTTAAAGCGATATCTATTATACATGCATTTAGTATCTCTTCCAAACAATTTTTGAACTGGCATTTGGCATGCTATTGTATGAGTAGCCTTCAGCGTATTTGTATTTCTTTGGTTTAATTTCTTTTTTCAACTTGCTTTCTTAGCATGTGAAACCTTGACTTCAATATTTATTTCTGTGATTACTTGACTTAAATGATACGTTCAAAAAAAGAATTTTTTCTTTGGCTTCAATATAACTTTTGGAGGAAGTGGCCGTCAGTTTTAACGATTACTACTGAAGTAGCAGCAATGCCTATTAACAGCGCATCCTGTTGGGCTTTAATTCTCTGGAATTTGTCTATAGTGTTGTCGCGTGATCTCACATCATCTGGTAGCAGTAGATTTGATGAATTTGGGTTGATTGAGAAGTGATTGAAAACTGATATTTTCATGTTCATTGGCAGAGCAGTCTAATAGAGAGAAATACTTGTGATGATATACGGTGGTAGGAAATGGAAAGGGTTCCTGAAACGAAACCACTTCCCAGCCAATTACCCACAGCAGCTAAGGTTACAAGTACTCAGACCACTTTGTTAAAAGAGGAGATTAAGAACCCACCAAAAGTACGTGGCTATAAGGAGTTGGATTCACTCACCCCTGCAGGAGCATGGAAAGGAAAAGTCTCTTTGCAGGATAAAGGAAAAATCATCTCTGATATTGCTCCGTTTGAACTCAATGATGATGCATTTGAAGAAATTGGCTCTACTCCATTCCATGGGGTGAGTCACCCCCCTGCAGGAGCATGGAAAGGAAATGTCGCTTTGCAGGATAAAGAAAAAATCATCTCTGATATTGCTCCATTTGAACTCAGTGGTGATGCATTTGAAGAAATTGGCTCTACTTCATTCCATGGGGTGAGTCATCCCCCTGAACCTGTTGATATGGACCTGATGAGACCAGTCTATGTGCCACTTGGACAGAGCAAGAGTGATGGAAAATGTTTGGTTGCAAGTCTTTCCATGAAGGTTCCTNATTCAGGCAGTAACTGGCATTCAAATTCTGCTACTGCTTTCTTCATTCTGTGGGTCTCCCCCCTGATGCTTTTTATGGAGATATAATCGGCTGTAATTTTTTATTATTTAGCCTTCGTTTGGGAAGAATGTATAAATGGTTTAATTATAATTATATAAAATTGAGTGGTGGATAAGTGAATAGTATATATGGATTTATTAGAATGTGTGGTTGAAAATGAAGTTTGACCAATTTATATAGGATTTATAAATTTGCCATATGCTAAGCCTCCGTTTGAAAGCCAGTTTATAAATTCAGTCAAAGTCAAACAGTAATTTCAACCATGCATTCATAACTACTACTCATTTATTATCCAAGCGGAGGCTAAATTATTTGTTATGTGGGGCACAAAACCGTCATGCTGTACTTGTTTCATGGTACAGGTTTTATGCAGCTGAGGTTCTGTTGGCGCTCGAGTATCTTCACATGCTTGGAATTGTGTACAGGGACCTGAAACCAGAAAATGTTCTGGTCCGGGAAGATGGCCACATTATGCTTTCAGACTTTGACCTTTCCCTGAGATGTACAGTTTCACCGACCCTCATAAGAACTTCTACGGTTGATTTGGATCCTAATAAACGAGGAGCTGCATTCTGTGTACAGCCTGCATGTATTGAGCCGACATCAGCATGCATTCAGCCTGCATGCTTCCTTCCCCGAATTTTTCCTCAGAAAAATAAGAAAAAATCCCGAAAGCCCCGAGTAGAGCTTGGATTTGCATCCAGTGCACTGCCTGAGCTAGTTGCAGAACCCACTGCTGCACGGTCAATGTCATTTGTTGGGACCCATGAATACTTAGCCCCTGAGATCATCAAGGGTGAAGGCCATGGCAGTGCAGTGGATTGGTGGACATTTGGTATTTTCTTACACGAATTACTATATGGTAAAACCCCTTTCAAGGGCTCAGGGAATCGTGCAACTCTTTTCAACGTAATAGGACAACAGCTCAAATTTCCAGACTCGCCTGCAACCAGTTATGCCAGTCGAGATCTTATCCGGGGATTGCTTGTTAAGGAGCCACAACAACGGTTTGGGATAAAGAGAGGAGCAACAGAGATCAAGCAGCACCCCTTCTTTGAAGGTGTTAACTGGGCTCTGATACGATGCAGTACACCACCAGAGGTGCCTAGGCCAATCGAGGCAGAGCTTCCCATGAAGTTTGGGCCAGTTGACCCTGTCGGAGTTGGCAGCAGCAGCAAAAGGGTTGTGGGAACAGACATGAGGTCAGGGGGTAGATATCTGGACTTCGAGTTCTTTTAGTTTAGGAATATATGNTGATGAGACCAGTCTATGTGCCACTTGGACAGAGCAAGAGTGATGGAAAATGTTTGGTTGCAAGTCTTTCCATGAAGGTTCCTTTCACGAAAGATCTTTCAAACCAAGTTCCAAGTATTGAACCAAACCCATCATTATTTTCATCTGCGGAGAGCTTAGTTGAAGAGCCTAATAATTTAGGGCCAGTCTCCTCTCCATTTTTAGTTCCTCGTCCATCAGAAAATACAGATTCAAGTCTTCTTGCAGATTCTGAGGACAAAGAATGTGTATGGGATGCTTCGTTACCTCCAAGCGGCAATGTTAGTCCACACAGTAGCATTGATAGCACCGGTGTTGTTACAGCTATGAGCATTGTTAATAGCTGCACGAGCACATACAGGAGTGATGGGTTAATGAGTGATGGCATGCTTAGCGTGGATAGAAACTATGCTAGTACGAAAGGGAGCATTCTAGGGGATTCTCTTGAGAGTACTAAAAGTAGCATTAGTAGAGCAAGCGATAGCAGTGTCCTTAGTGATGACAGTAACTGGAGTAATATTACTGGCAGTGCAAATAAGCCTCACAAAGGAAATGATCCCAGATGGAAGGCTATACTTGCTATTCGATTGCGTGACGGTATATTAGGCATGAACCATTTCAGGTTACTTAAAAGACTTGGTTGTGGAGACATTGGAAGTGTGTATCTGTCTGAGCTGAGTGGGACTCGGTGTTTCTTTGCTATGAAGGTGATGGATAAGGCATCCCTTGCTAGCCGGAATAAGTTGACTAGGGCTCAGACGGAAAGAGACATCCTGCAGCTGCTGGATCATCCATTCTTACCGACTTTGTACACTCATTTTGAGACAGACAGATTCTCGTGCTTGGTCATGGAATATTGCCCAGGAGGCGATCTGCATACCATGAGGCAGCGTCAACCAGGGAAACATTTTTCAGAGTATGCAGCACGGTATGCACTTGTTCATCACTCTCTTTGATGTCTCGAGCATGTATTAGTCTTATATTTGACCAGTAGATCTTTGCTTTTAATTAATTTTGTCTTTTCCTGGGATTAAGTCGTTATTGTGTGCACATCTCTTGCAATCTTCTTTTACCATGTCACATGCGCTTTCAGACTTGCTATCATATATGAATTGATTTCTTTTACAAAGCACATTTACATTACCTATATGGATGAAAAATGACAGGCAACTTTCTTGTGTTTCTTATTTGTCCCACCAGACTTTTATTATGCACGTAGTTGAATTAGGTTGTACATAAGGATTTATTCTGGATCGTGTAATGAGGTAGCGCTGTCATTAAGTCACTATCAGTATGATAGAATCCTTTAGTTCATTGTCTGTCCTGGACAACTCGGAATCTGGTGATATGATAGAGGTTATCACTGAGTATTGTCTCTTGCTAGACAGTAAGATGAGTTGGTCAGAGACCAACAACCTAATTTCTTTCATTTCCTAGGCCTGGCGGTTCACTAATGTAACTCTTTGTTAGCATGCTCTAGATGTTACTCCCTTGATGGGTCATATTAATATGCTTAATGAAGCTCTATCTTTTTATTCAACTAAAGATATTTCAGAACTAAGATTCTTTTAGTTGAGTAGGTATCATTTCTAATTACAAGAGAAAATATAGATTCTTCTGCTGATTGTTTGATTTTATGATATAATACATGGGTATTTATGCATGCGGTGTTTCTATGTACTTCATTTATGACTGCATTAATGAGGATATTATCCCGAGTCCCGATCACATCTGGCATTGCACAGAGGATTTTCGTTCTTTAAATTTAAAATGATTTAGAGGTGACAGTTAGTCCATTTTTATCTCATATAACTATCGTTAGTTCATTATGTACTAAGTTTCATGTGTATATGTATCCACTAGATTGATTCTTTGCTAAAGGATACACATCTTATCGTAGGTATCTATTGTTCCCATTTTTATATTTTGATTATCTTCATATTTGATTTT